AAAGAAATAGAGGAAAGAACTAGGAGGCAAAGGGCATTTATAGAGATCTAAATATAGGCATATACAGATGTAAATATATTTATATATGACAGGGGGAATAGATCTCTGTACATACATTTATAGGTTAACATTAAGGAAACAGATGGACAGTGGGCCCCTACTCAAGTACTCCCTCAACACAAGAACACTTTGTTCTAACAATTCAGCAGTCTGAGATGCTCACCTTCCTGGCACGATCGCTGAAGACAATGGGCGCACAAGGAAATGTGGTGAAGAAAGCTGATTGTGGCCGGCTATAAAGTGCAATTTTCATGTTGAACCCTTGAAAGAAATTTTTTTGCATTAGATTTGTCCAGTGCTCGATCTCTTGACTGTTCTTTCCATGGGTGTGATTATGGATCCAAGTAAAATGAAATTGTTGACAAGGTCAACATTTCGGTTTGTCATGGAGTATTATTTATTGGTCCCATTGTGAAGCTTCTTGTTTTCTTTATGTTGAGAGGCCATCCATCCTGAAGAATGAAATAGTTCATCTTCATCAGTATGGACTTCAAGTCCTCTTTGTTTTCAGCAGGTAAGGAGGTGTCATCTACATACCACAGGCTGGTAACAAATCTTTCTCCAATTCTTATACCATATTCTTCTCAGACAGACTGGCTTCGGGTATTATTTGCTTAGCGCACAGAAGGAATAAATGTGGTGAAAGGATCCAACCCTAACAAAAATCTTTCCTGATTGTGAGCCACACAGTATCTTTGTTCTGTTCCAACAACTGTCTCTTGGCTTACATACAGGCTCTGCATGAGTATAATTCAGTGTTCTGGAATTTCCATTCCTTCCAATATTACCCATAATTTCCTATGAGCTACACAGTGGGATGCCTTTCATTATAAACGAAACATATGTAAACATCTTTCTTGTAGCCTCTGCTTTTTACTAAGATCTATCTGACACCAGCAAGGAGACCCTCATGCCATGTCCTCTTCTGAATCCCATTAGCATTTCTAGCAGATCTCAGTGGTTGTACTGCTGCCACCATTTTTTAATTATCTTCAGCATAATTTAAAAATTATCTTCAGCATGGTGTTTCTTGCAGGTGATGTTATTTGATAATTTCCACATTCTGTTGGGTCACATTTCTTTGGATTGGCATGGATATGGAGCTCTTCCAGGCAGTTGGCCAGATAGCTGCATGTTAAATAAGCCACTGAGCCATTCATCTTCAACTTGTCATTGCTAGCATAGTAGGCCATACATTCATCTGATTCAAATTGGCCAATAACAGTTCATTTTAACGAACTAATGCTTAGGATATCAATATTTATGTATTGAATTTCATTTTTGAGGACTTCCAATTTTCCTAGATTCATGATTTGCATATGTTCTCATTATTAATTGATATCTACATCTGTTTTCATTTCTCATTTTCAATTGTGCTTTATAAGCCAATGGTGCTCCCCAAATCTTTAATCCATCCACATCAAAGCTGACTCCACCTTGAGGAAGCAGTGCTTTCCCAGTCTTATTCTGAGTGTCTTCCCACATGGGAGGTTCATCTTCCAGCACTATGTCAGATACTGATCTGCTATTCGTACAGTTTCCACTGGTCAATTTTTCCAGAAGTGAATCATCAGGTCCTCCTTTCTAGTCTGTCTGAGTCTGGAAGCTTCCATGAAAGTTTTCTACCGTGGGTAACCCTACTTGTATTTAAAATTCCAGAGCTATAGCTTCCAGCATCACCGTAATGCACAAGATGCCACAGTACAACAAACTGACCAATAAGGGGAGAGATTTGGTCTTCGGTCTTTGGGGAAGCCTGACACTCATATACCGAATAACTTATGAAGTATTTCTCTCATTATAACATGGATAATTTTGTAGAGTGGTAAATTTATATATACAATTTACTTATATATATAAATTATATATATATAATATTATAAAATTATTATAAAAGAATACATGTCTTCTCTGGTATTACAAAAAGCATCATAATAAAGCTTAAAAATAAGAAACAGACTAGTAGAAAAATATGTGAACTGTATGTTCACGCACACATGCATTCCCATAAATTGGTAAGAACAACCCAATAGAAAAAAACAGGCAAGAAAGAGGAAACTCACAGAGGAGAAAACTCGAATGTCCTAGAAACAAATGGAAGTACAATCTCTCCAGAAATCAGGAGAATGGGAATCAAAATTGCCAAGAGATATCACTCTACATTACTTTGGCAACTTAAAAGATTTGTTTGTTTGTTTGTTTGTTTGTTTGTTTTTCTGCCAAGTATTACTGAGGGTTAAAGAAAATATCTTTGTAGCCTCATACAATGTTGACAGATTTATTCATTTTGGCAACCCATCAGTACTCACTCCATCCACATACCCTTCAACAATGCATCCTGCAGCCTCCTATGTAGATATAGTGGCACATTATAAAAATATGCATGTTTACAGATGATTCATCACATTGTCTGTAATGAGGTTATGGAAAATACTAAAAAATAAAAATATTTATGAAACATTTTTGGTGAAAAGTTAAGAATATGTATAATTTTACATACATACTTCAAAGCAAAACTATCCACACATATTTGGATATAAGTGCATAGAAGATTTTACACACACACACAGACACACACCCCCAGGGAGAGAAATGGTCAAAAAGAATTTTAGATTTTTCTGCCATAAAGATTATTACAAAAAGTCCTATCACAAAATAAACCAACCATTTAAAATTTAATCACTCTAAAGCAAAACACACCCACATTTTTTTTTGTACTCCATCCTGCTAATTGTTCTTTTCTGCTCATGACACTTTTTTCTCTATTCTTCTTCAAACTCTGATGTATTTTAAAGGGCTAACTTCTTATGATGTTGGCTTTTCTTCTCTTTCCACTTTATATACTAATCTCCATATATTTTCCTTCTAGCCAATGTCCTCTCCTCTCACTGCTGAAGAAAAAACTAGCAACTACTTTTATGAGCTGTAAATAAGAGTTCTAAAACTTTGGATAAAATACCATTGCCTAAGTTTTAGTAATAAGATGGCAGAAATTGAACAGCCTATGAAAGATATCCTCTACACAATGAAAGGGAAATAGATCTATGTACATATATTTATATGTTAAGTATTAAGGTAGCAGACAGACAGTGGCCTTGTGATAGGTAGGTTTATTGTGCCCACCTGGCCAATAGGAACACGTGGGATTAATAAGTTCACAGTTTGATTGGAGGGCAAAGAGATAAGTTGCTCAGCAAGCCCCACCTCTCTCTCTCTCTTGCTCTCTGGTGATCGGCCCAGCATGTGGCTGCGTTAGCTAGTGTTCTGCCTCCACTTGTGAGCTACATTACCTCTGGGACACCCAACCCATGGAATTGTGTTGCTAGAGCTTGAGGGTCCCTCGAGACCTGCTTCACCACGGTGCTGGTGTATACATCGCTTGAGCTTGGAACTGTCAGACCCTGTCATCTGGATGACTGTTGGTGACCCATCCTGCTATTTGCTGCTGGTGACTGGACTGCCTGCATTGCCTTATGGAAGATTCAGTTGTCTACTTCCTTGACCTTGGACCTAGCAGCCCTCGTGAGATGAAGGACTTTCAGTATATTAACTGTTCCACAGAATTGAGTTGAACTGAGCCCTCTGTACTGCTGTGTGGACTAATTAGCTGTTATATTCCTTTGTGCTGTATATATCTATATTTTTTCTATCTCTATGTCTATATTTATATCTATAAAATCAGAAGTGTCCTGGTTTTGTTTTTCTGAAAAACCTAACACAAGCCTCTACTCAAGTACTTTCTTAACACAAGAACAATTTATTCTAGTAACCCAGAATTCTGTGATGCTTACTTACCTTCCCAACATGATTGCTGTAGACAAAATGGGTGCATAAGCAAATATGGTGAATAAAGATTATGGTGCCTGGCTATCAAAAAATATAGTGTCTGGGGTCTTAAAAGCTTGAAGATAAATAAGTGGCCATCTGACTGAGAAGCAACAAAGCCCACATGGAAGAAGCACACCAGCCTTTGTGATCAACGAAGTGTCCATGGGAAGAAGTATCAGGCATCAGAAGACCCAAAACAAAGTATCATGTTGGTGTGGACAAAGGGTTGGTGAGAGTGAAAACCCAAAGCCCCTCCATAGACAATTGGACAGCCCCTTACAGAAGGGTCACAAGGAAGGGGTGAGCCAGCCAGGGCAGTATAGCACCAATGAAACATATAATTTCCTCTAGTTCTTTAATGCCACCCGCCCCCCATTATCATGACCCCAATTCTACCTTACAAATCTGGCTAGACCAGAGGATGTACACAGGTATAAATAAGAACTCTCAACACAGGAAATCCAGGACAGATAAACCCCTCAGGACCAATAATGAGAGTAGAAATATCAGGAGAGTAGGGGGAAGGTGAGGGTAGAAAGGGTGAAGTGCTCACAATGATTGACATATAACACTCCACCCATCCAGCCAGGGGGATGGACAACAGAAAAGCGGGTGAAGGGAGACAGCGGTCGGTGTAAGACATGAGAAATAATAATAATTTACAAATTATCAGGGTTCTTGGGGGAGGGAGGAAAAAAATGAGGAGCGGATACCAAGGACTCAAGCAGAAAGAAAAGGTTTTGAAAATGATGATGGCAACATATGTACAAAGGTGCTTTACATAATGGTTGTATGTACGGATTGTGATAAGAGCTCTACGAGCCCCAATAAAATGATTGAAAAAAAGAAAGATATCCTCTGTCATAAAGGGGGTAGCAAAGAAGGCAATACTACTTATGTTTCTGTTTCTTGATCACAGGAATTAAATAATGGTTCCTCAGACATGCATAACTTCACTCAAATGACGAGAGAGGGTGAGTCTGTCTCACACAGCTCAGAGGACAGAGCATCATCAGTACACTTTTCAATCCACTGTTTTCTCTCATTCCTTCCCTTGCCTCCAGGGGGCAGTGAAAGTGCTAAGAAGACTCGCCTTGAAACACCGCTCTCTTGCCAAATGCTTCCTGGCTCCTCCCCTCTGGTCCATCACTACTTTAACTTCCTCCCTTAGTCTCTGTCTGCATTGTGCAAAACTGGTAATAAGAGCATCCTTCTCCGTTGTTGTAATAATAAAAATCCTATCGTGCTTATCAAGCTCCTCGTCTCAAGTGTGTCCTCGCAATGGTGACAGCCATCCTCGGCTTGGGGCGGGAGGAGGTAGGTGGGGAGTGGGTGGGGGTGGGTAAGAGCTCCACTAGCTGAGTTAATCAAACCAGTTTTTTAAAAAAAACGTAACTTCCTTTATTATGGAAGATGCTTTTTTTCTAAGTAGGAATCCTTGTGGCTCTCCCATTACTCTTTTGGCTATCTCAGCGCTTTCTTTCTATGTCAGGTTCAATGATCCCCTTTGGTCCCTAGCTGAAGAGAGGGCTACATTAGACTTTGGGGTCTGCATCTCTGTCCAGGGTGTGAGAGACTCGATCAGAGTCTTTGATCCAGCTTCTTACATGGGCTTCCTTCCTGTGAGGCGCAAGTAGACGTCGAAGATCATGGCAGGGCCTCGATGGGCGACTGCATCCCAGTACTTGTTGGTGAGCCTGTTGGATGCCATTCCAATAGCTGGCACTCTGAAAGGTCTTTCTAATGGAACTTTGTTAAAGGTTTCCATGATTGTGAACCCTAGGGAAAAAATGGAGAACTTTAAGTCTAGGAGCATAGAAACCTATGCATTCTCAATAAAACAAAACAATAATAAAGACAAAGGATTTGCGATATAGAATCATGAGACTTTCATTCAGGGTAAGCGGTCATTGACACAATAGTACCTTTAGTTTTATGAATGGGTCAAGCACATGAATGACATATATGCCATCAGGGATACTTTTCTATGGCCATTTTTGCAACTCACACCACATAACTGGGTGGGACTATGGAAATGAGGCCCATCAAAGGGATTAGCTAGCTTATAATGCAAATGAGGTGTTTGGTTACTGTGTGAGTGTGGGATCTTGCAAATAAGGAATATGAAATCCTAAGGAGGGAACTGTAAAGTTTTGCCATCAAGGTAGGCTTAAAATAAGTCATCCCAGATACAGACAAGTTGGAGCTCACTACTACCAGAAAGATAAGTCAGGAGTAAAATGTGGCCTTTGGATTCTGGGTTCCTGTGCTTTGAGCCTCCTAGATCCAAGAAAGAGAGAAAGCAGTAACCCTGGCAATGACACAGGATGGCAAGAAGCAGCAGTAGAGGAACAGCCAGAGTAGAAACAGGAGACAAGTGTGAAACAACACAGTAGGCTTCCAGCCCAAGGAGCGAGAGAGTTGCAGTAGGCTTGCTGAATCACAGAGCAAGCCTATGCGACTTTGGGCAGAAGGCTTCGTGGCAGTGTGGGGTGGGTGCCTTTGGGCATTTTGTTGACTAGCAAAACAGCTTTGTAACATTTGCCTGAATAGAACAGAGGCCACCACAGGACTCCTCTCTAGACTCATTTCTTTTCCATTACCCATGTAACCACCCTTGATTGCTATTTATTTTCTCCTACCAGGACCTAAGCACTGTGAGAGTAGTTTTGTCTCTTTCCTTCATGCCCACATCAAGGGGCTCTAATGGGATAGTGTGTTACATGTTGGGCTATGAAGGACAAGGTCAACCGTTGGAATTCATCAGGTCTGAAGGAGAAAGTTGAGGCTGTCGGCTCCCATAAAGCTTTACTGTCTCAGTAACCCAAAAGGACTATTCTACTCTTTCCTATGTGGTCACTATGAATCAGCTTGAACTCTGTGGCAATAGTTTGGCTTTTGTTTTATATACAGTACTCTGGACAATGGTAGCAGATGGTCAATGTCCACTAAGTATTTATTGAATAAAGCAATGTCTCAGCACATGCAATTACTTTCCATTTCCTGAATCTATCCCGACTCTTCCTTTAGCAACTCCAAAAATGTTTATTTAGACTTCATACTTTGCAAGCACTGGAAATCACCCGTACTAGTACGAAGGACTCGAGTAGAACATATATACAGGTATTTTCTGTTCTTCAGGAATCGGAAATTTGGTGGGGGATGAAGACAAATAGCAACGACAATATAGTGCCTGGGTATTTTGCTAGAGGCCAGTACAGTGAGATCTGCAGGAAGATTTAACGAGCACTTACCCCTGTTGAGGTGTCAAGGTGAAGGGTGAGTTGGGGGTGTGTTAGGAATGACTTCTTGAGAAAGCTGCCTAAGTGAATGCTAATAAGTACTAAAATGTTTACTTTTGTAGTCTCTATCCTACGCATTTTATCCCCTTCAGTCCTCCAAAAGTTCTCTGAAGTAGAATGATCATTATTCCTATTTGGCAGGTTAGAAAATTGATGCAAGGGGAGAGATTAAGTGATTTTCAAAATCATAAACTTAGTATGTAGTAGATCCTAGTAAATGGCGGGACCTATTTACTATGTAACCTTCATGTAGGCAAATTTGTGCTTATTTAGTGTGATAGTTCCATCACCAAGAATAGTGTCTGCTCAATAAATACAGGAGTAAACAAATGAATCAACAGGTGAGCTATGATTTGGACCCAGATCTTTCTGACTCCCAAGTCCAACTTCTTGATCATAAATTACAACCATAGCTCAGAGATATTGCGGAATCCATTCTAGACTGTGGCAATACAGCGTTATCACAATTGGGGGAGTCATGGGACTGCTTTGTTTTCCAGAGCATAGAAAAGCTACATTGATACTGTATAGTCTATGAAGCATTATGAAAAAGCCTGAATATTGTGAGAATGATCAAATTGGCTTGCAGAAATCCAAAGCAAATCTATGCTATGGAAAAAATAATGCCAACAGATTAGCTCACCCCAAGGTTGTTACAAAACTTCTATTGCAATAAACACAGTATTTGTGAAGCACAGTAATGAGAAGCCCAATAAACCAAGGTATGCCTGTACTGTCTTTTCTTTGGCTCAGACCTGAGAGGTAAGTAAGGTCTCATGTACTCATATTGTGGGGAACAGAAGGATTTCTCTTAAGTTGTCTCCCCAAAATATGTACCAAACTTAGCTGCGTTAGTGTGACTGTTCTTTAGGCAGCGAAAGTAGGTCAGAGGTTATTCTCCTTAACATTGGCCATCTGTAGTGGCTAGACTATTAGTCTGACTCACCCTAAGTAAAGCCCATTACCTTCTGTTATTGTTCCCTCGAAGCAGTGCCCATAGGCAAGCCTGAGACCACTCTAAGATGACTAAGCTTAGGCTACTATCTTGCCACACATGCCCCCTATTCCCTCCTCTTACTATTGCACATTCACCCCTAGGTCATCCCCCTCCTATTGCTTGTATTGCCTATGTTAATACTCCTCCTGGTGACTCAGGTTATTGTCCACTATCAGGGAACTTGCATGTCTCCCAGGATAGTAATTGCCCACTTTATTGTATGAGACACCAGAATGATCAAACTTGTTCTAGAATGAATTGTATAGCCCTTTATGTGATGTATAACTCTATAATGCGTGGTTAGCAATAAATATCGAGGCTCCCTGGTACTCGAGAGGGTGGCTGGCCAGAGGGTGGCTGGAGAAGGTGACTAAGGAGGATGAAGCAGCGGCTTCTTCTCTGACAGCTAAGCCCCCTCCATGAGGACCATCAAGCCAGGTTGAGGTGAGATATGCTACCATGAATTGCGTCTGACTCCATTACTTGACTCTATCCTTTAACTCTCATGCTCTCTATGACTTTACTATAATCTCTACTGATTATCGCTGTACAATTGCGCCTACCAAACCTGTGATGTTTTGTGGGGTTCCCTCTTACCCTTAACCCCACACTCATATGACCTAATACATGTTTTGTTTTATCATATATTAGGTCAAAAAGCCCCATGTACCTGTCAGTTTGTTGTACTGTGGTGGTTTGCTTATTGCTGTGATATGATATGTGACAAGCATGTTAAATATAAGCAGGGCACTAATCTTGAAAGGGTTTCATGGGAGCGTCAAGACTAAGAAGAGTCTAAGTGAAGAAGGAAGAGGTGGTCCACTTCTAAACTCTAGCAACTGAAAATGGGATGAGTAGCAGGAGAGATCATCTGATGCAGTGCCAAAAGGTTAGCTGGAATGTATGGGTTGTGATAATAGATGTAAGAGCCCCCAATAAAAGTATTAAAAAAATAAAGAAAATATTCTAAAACTGATTGTGGTGATGATTGTATAACTCTTCTTGATGTAATCAAACGATGGAACTATATGATATGTGAATTATATGTATGCAGTGAAATAAAATTGTTGAAAATGAAAACAAAGCAAAACCAAAAAAACCCAACAACCTGTGATATTTGAAATGCCAGAGACATAGCTGCCAGCATTACAGCAACATAAGAACCACTGCACTATGACAAACTGACAGGTGAGTGGTGGCTTCTAGACACCAGTCAGTAGCAAACAGAAACCATACTTTTCAAAAAGAGACCAGTCAAGAAACTATAAGTCACCTATAAAGTATTTATAAATTCATATCTCATTAAAGATATGTACAATCTGCACGCAGACCCCAATTTTTTCTTGAAGAACATCCATAGTGGCTTCGCTACATGAAGAGAGGTGAGGTGTTCATGCACTCAGCTCAAGGATGCTGTTACCTGAGGGCATGGATGCTCAGCCTATTACAACAATGACACCGGGGCCTTAATAGGACATGTTTGATCACTACCTAGATCTCTGACAGAAAACGCAAATGAGCTTCAACTTCCATATCAAACCAAGCTAATTACTAATCGCTTCCAGGAATCTTGTGCTAAAAAGGATCCTGGTTCAGAGCCTTGGGCGCTGTGCATTCGAGGGGAATAGAGGAGGCATGAGTTCCTGAAAGCTCTTATGTCGAAGCCAATCATTGGGAGAGCAACAGCGATTAACTGCCCAGAAGCAGTGCTCCTAGTTCAGTGCCATGGCTTGCCATTGGGATGTGTAGAGCTAGTGTTACCTGCCCCAGGGAAAAGAAGGCTATGTTGAGCACAGACGCCTGCATAACAATGTAGCTGCTTATTCCATCCCCTGTTCCTATTATAAGTTTAAATTGCATCCACATTTTATTCCTAGAATAGATCCATCCAGTAGGTAATTTGTACCGTACAGTAGATAAAAGTACTGAGAAGAGGCATTATAGACAAAAGAACAGTTCAGCTTCTCTAAATAAACTCCATACTCATGAGCATTGTCCGTGAATTTTATGTAGCCACTGCACAGAGTTAGTGGACCCAGCAGATAAGTAGAGTACTGTGAGAGGGATGGGTGGTGTCAGAATAGGGTAAAGGAGGGTGGAGGGTGGAGGGTAGAGGCATGTCCGTCTGTCTGGGGCTGGCATGCAGTTGGATTCTCCTGCTTTTTCATGTTGCCAGAGGAGAGGAGTCATGGCTCCCAGGCCTTATTTCCTCAACATGCTATAATGAGACAAAGTAATACTAAGAATGTTCAGGATGGAAAAAACGATTTATAATCCCAAAGAATAGGATTTATATGTAGTATCTTTGTATTTAAGAGCTTAAGATAATTTAATCATTTCTATTAATGCCATTTTATGGGTTGTATCATGAATATTATAATTCTGTTATAGAGTTAGAGGAAAAAGGTTTGGTTTTATTTCTAAATGTTTTAGACTCATATATATATTTTGTAGCCTAAATAACTCAATATATGGCATAAAGAACTTTGATGGCAGTAGATAATTTAATTTCACTTATACTAATAGAATAACTTCATAAATAGAATGATATAGTAGAACATTATAAATTGGATATATGCTTTCAATGTTTTTGGACATTTGATTTTTTAAACACTGAAAAGATGATGGTTTCAGTTTTTCATAAACAAAAAAATTCAAGTCCAAATTTGATGAAGAATACATGATGGACTAATTTTCCATTATATGTAAGATGAATTGCTTCAATAAAACAAGATATTTTCAAGAGTGCATTTATGGACGACTGTACAAATTAAAGCAGAGTATTGTTGAGTCAGTAACAAAACTGCACTGCTATTTGACTTTTGTTAGTCAGCACTCTCAGTCGTATGGCAAGGGGCAGAGAAGTGTGGAGTTGTGAGAACAATTGACCTGCAGCAAGGAGTGTCTTATTGCTGCTGTTATTTGATTTTATCACTATTAATTTTTTAAAATCTCGATAGCAATAGACCCTTTATTGGGACTGGTTCTTTTCATGGGTGCATCACCATATATTCTAGCTGATGATTTTACATACAGTTTGCAATTCATTTGTCTCTCAACTTTCTCTTCCACTGGACTATGTTCCATGGCACACTCTGTCTATTTTGTTCCCTTCTATGAAGAGACACCAGCCACAATGTCATTACCCAGTAATCGACACTTACCCATTTCTCTCCACTGACAGGGATTGATGGTACCAGATGTGCAGTGATAGATTAACGTATTTTTAGGTCTAGAAAGAGAAATAAATCTTAGATAAATATGACAAATGGAAAACTCCTGAAAGAATGACAAGGGAAAATACTGTTTTGACAAAGTAGTTCCAATATTTTGCACAACTAATATAATCTATGCATTGCTTCTAACTTTTAGATTAATAAGTAAAATGAAAGACTATGAGGGAGACTATGTGTATATAGGACATGTCAAATAAGTATGACATTTCTGGAGCAAAATGGAGGTAACAGGTAGAAGAGAAATCATCTGGAGATTTTCATTGGGCCAACTCCTAAGTGCGGTTAGCACTATTAGATTGGAAAACATTTGGATGTCTGGTTTCATGCAGGAAAATTGAATTCTGTGCACATTTACCAACAGCCAAGTGCAGAGCAACTGCCTTTCCCTTGTACTAGAAATGTCCCCACACTAGTGACCTGAACTTTTGACCTTTACCAGGAACAGAGCTATTGATTAAAATATTCTAATTTTTTTCACCTTCATTTCTTTTGCCTTCAGAGAAAAAGGAAGGAGTATTTTAGATTGATGAACAGACTGAAGCGCTTTTAGGTTCCTCAAGAATTTTATGGTTAAATGATTTCAAAGGCATATTATTTTATGATCAATATGCAGTATTCATAAAACAACTCGATGTACAGCTGATGAAGTACAGTACTGAAATAGCCACCCTCTCATGCTTGGAATTCTATGACACACACAGAAATGCTGTATCTTGAAACTCTCCTTTGTTTTCATCAAATCCTAGGAAGGAAGTCTAAGCCACCCACCTGTGGACTGCAGTGTACCATCCTGCGGCCAACGTCAGATTGATAACGGTATCGACGGGAATGATGTCTGCTATAGCCAGGGGGGTACCTTTTAAGAACCGAATTAAGCCTTTCCCAATCTGCGTAGAAAAAAAGAGCATATTATCTATGACACCTGGTCTTCAATTACATCTGGGGCTAATGTACATCTAAAAATGATCATACCGATACAATTAATAGACATTAATATCGATTCACTGCTTATTAGGTCATTGGGACAAATTTGCACGCTCTCAGTCTGTCCAGCCTCCCCTGCCAGGTTCATCTTGCGTGCCAACATTTCCACGCACCATTCATTTTTCTCAGGCTCCTCTAGGGAAGGCCAGGGTACACCTTTATGCAAGGTTCATATAGTTAGTTGATTAACATGCACCAAGGATAGGTGCATTTTTAAAATATTTTAAAAATGAATATTCTCCAGAGAAACGAAGTCCTGGCGCATGCTACAACAAAGGTGTGTCATGAAAACATTGTGTGGAGTGAGGTGCATCAATCACAAAATACAACTCTTGTTTGATCCCACTTACATGAGCTCTCTATAACAGACATGTAGAGAGACAAAAATCGACCTGTGGTAGCTTGGGGAAGGGAAGGCAAGGAATGGGGGGGTCATTTAGGGAACACTGAGTATCTGCTTATGATGGAAATGACTGGTGATGGTTGCATGAATGAATGTAATTGGTTCCATTGAATATACATGTAAAATGTTAGGTTAACTAATGTGTCATATACATATATATGTATACATATATATATACACATGTGATTGTGGTTTGGGTGAAAACTTACAGAAAAAAAAATTGGTTGCCCCTTCAGCGATTTATATACATTTTTTTTTCATGATGTTCATTGCAAACCTCTCAATGTAAGAGCATGCTTCCCACTTCCTCCCCACGTGCCCTTTACATTCATCCTTCTTTTCGGTCCTACCCTGCCCTAGGAACTTTGTTTTTAGGGAAAGGCTGCCCTTTTGGCCTCATCTGGCTTATTCTCCTGAGGACCACATTCCTTGTGGGTGTCACTGTTCCCCGTCTGTCGTTTGGTTGAAAAGTGGTCTCTGGGAGTGGGTTCAGTTCCTTGTTTGAAGGGGGTGTAAGGACCAGAGTCTCGGGGTTTCATCAGTCTCTATCAAACTATTAGACTATTTGTTTGTTTGTTGATGATTTTGATGTTTTTTCCCCTACATTTTTATCTCACTTTCCCCAGGAACTTCTATTATGATTCCAATCAGAGTAGTTGGTGGTGGTAGGTGGGCACCATCTAGTTCTTTTGGTTTCAGGGTAGTGGAGGCTATGTTACATATATTTACAACAACAAATGACTTAAGGTTTTCCAAATTTTTCTTTAAAATGAGTTTACTATTTCTGAAATAATTTTCTTTTCTGCTAGTTTTCATTAACTTAGAAGCAATAATAGACCTGAAAGTTTAAGAAATATTTATTAGGGAAAAACAAAATAAAATTCAACTATTTAACAAAAACTTTATTACTTGGGGAAAAAGGGACCATGCTTACTTTTTCACTACGAGTCAGCAATCATTGGATGGCAGTGAGTCTGGTGTGGTTTTTGGTGTACTGACTTTTTCTTCAGTAACTTAGTTCACCCCATAAATCACCAGTTTGATACAGATGCATGGTTTGAGACTTAGTCATGGTAATAATTTATTGACTTTATGAAGAACATATATTATTGGTACCCTTCCTAGTTCCAACATTGATTAGCAGTGATCAACATTTTCTTATGCTCCCACATTCTGGTTTCTTGTAATTCCCCTTCCTTTGAAAGTAAGAACCAGTTGGGACATTTTTAGAAAATGGATGCATGTGGTTTTATACACAATGTATTAAACTCACTCTGGGATCATGTTAAAATAATTATATTCCAAATCACCAAATTTTTACTCCAATAAAGCCTTAAAATTCTGCTAGCAAATTGGAAGGGCATTCGTTGACATGACCCTCGACACGTTGTCATCGACTTTTTTTTTTTTTTTTCATCATCGACTGTTTTATATTTGTTTATTAATCCATGATGGACCGAGTTCTGAGAACAACACCGCAGGGTTTGAGACACCAGATGCCTAATAGGATTAAACTCATTTAGGCCATTGAATTGCTGTTCATTTTCATAAAGACTGAATTATGGTTTGAGACCCACGATTCCCTGTCAGCTGTGAAGTCCCTCCCTGCAGGGAGACCCACGCAAAACATAGCTAACCGAAGAAGAAACGGGCTCCCCCTCTCTGAGAAAACTGTTGTTGAAAAAGTGTGGTTTTTTAAAAAAATTTAGTTAATTTTTGTGTTTGAAAAATTTACTACGCTTAATATTTTCTCTAGTTAAGAAGTACTTATTGATGTTAAATATCTAAATATCTACCCATCCACACAAACATAAATACATTTATACATCTTTTTTAAAAAGCATTTTATTGGGGGCTCGTACAACTCTTTTCACAATCCAAACATCCATCCATTGGGTCAAGCACATTTGTGCATGCATACATCTTAAAATGGTGAGTTTAATAATTTTTGAACCGCCCCAATAAAATGATTTAAATAAAAAAAAATATTTGACCTATTGACCTCACTCAACTGTATGTCGCGATAAGAAGGAAGAATCCTCATCTTGTGGTAAATAAATGAGAAAACATTCACATGCTGCCCCCAAATTGTCCAAAAACAAAACTCCTAAATAGTAATTGAGGCTATCACAGTACTTCTGTTTTTTGGATAAGGAAATCCACAAGTATTGAAGTTATTTCATCTTGCCTTTATTTTCTGTCCAAAAATTAAGATAAGGTGTTTCTGTTTTGTATCAATGAGGTCACACCGGCACCATGTATTTTGTTCCTCACTACATGCCCAGGAACTACTGCCCCATTGTTATACATACCGAAATAATAATCCCAGAAGGCCCGTTGAGGTTATCAACCCAACCCTACAAAACAAGAGCAGAGCTTTAAGGATTACGCATGTGAAAAACATTTAAATGCCTTTACAACATCCTCAGTGTAACCTTAATACATTTCAACAAAGAACACTGAGAGCCCAGCCATTAGAACACTCAAATCCATCCTTTTCCTCCTTTTCTTTAAGAACCCTAAACAAGGATCCATGACAAAGCACTGACTGACTTTCTGCTGCATTGATTCATAGAAGAATTAAAGTTTTGCCAACATTTTCCCCTTTATCATCAGGGACCAAGTACTTTCAATCATATCTAACAGTTTAAAGATACCAAAAAGTGTTACTTCTCAGCTAAGAGATTTTTTTTCACCCTGGCAGGCGCAATGTGCCTCACAAATATGGCCACCATGGACATTCTGACATCTTTAAGTTACACTGAAAAAACAAAGCACACACACACACACACACTTCTCTCATGGGACTCTTGAGACTAGAGTTCATCAAAAAGCTAATTTGAAGTATCCACCCCATCTCGAGGTGAGTCAGTATAATTCCCAGATGAGACTCATGCAGGATAAATTCTGAACCAAACATGAAATTTTCTCTGACAATGAGTTTAATTGTTGTATTCAGCTATAGTCCTAAGAAAGACAACAACAACGACAAAAGTTGGGGGCACCAAAGAGTCACTTGCACTCAAAGGACCTTGGTTTGGGAGCAAAGTCTGTAAGGGAGCTTACTGGGAAAGGCTCCTGCCAAGTTGCTCCCACAATGGAAGGCCTGATGATAGCCCTATTTAGGTTCCCACTGGCTTGTTTCACCAGGATCTCTGCTAAGGCCTTCGTGTAGATATAAGTATTGGGCCGATCTCCAATCAGCTTGGGTGTGATATCTTCAATTATAGAGTCATCTAACCACCTGAAGGAAATCAGAGAGAAAATAATTGTAACAACACATGTTAGACCAAAAAGAAACTGAGACACAGGCAATCACATTTCCATCTTGTAGCTTGAGCTCTGGAATTGGGTGCAGTCACAGGATACCAAGGATAAAGATGTACTTGCCTAAATCGTTCATAATGAACTCCTTGGTTACCATTGCTAAATCCAGTTTTACCCATCAAATGCTACCTCTTCCCACAGACACCTAGCTAGATGATAGACAGACAAGGCACAGACAAACAGATTCATTCAGCAGGTATACAATCTTTTAAGGATAATATTTATCTTTATTTCTTATGCAACAGGGTCACAAGCAAACTCACTGAATGTGTTTTAAGTGTCAGTGGTGTGCCAGTATGACGAGGATTGGATGTAGGTCACAGGGACTTGCCCCCATGGAGCTCAGGAGCTCTTTCCTCCCCGAGGCTTCAGAGGGCAGCACGGCTCATTCAGCATTGTTCGGCTAAGACCTAATGTGACTATCTTGAACTCTTCTAATTTTAAGTTAAAAATTCCATCCAATGCATCAACAAATAAAAGCAACTACATTTGGCTGGCTTACCATCAATGCGAGCAAGTCGATGAAATGTATTTTGAAGGTCTGTTTAGAGTCTATGTTTATAACTTGGTTATCATTTCCAGAGACATCCACTAAATTCTGAAGTGCTCCAATAGCGACCAGTAGTCTGTCCAGTGGAGTGGTCATACTACTCTGAAGCCCCGTTACCACCACAAAGATTCTGTGCCTGTACTTACAAGGAGACCTGTAAGACCACAGCCTAATCGTTTTGTTTTGTTTTTAAAAAAAAACGTTAGGACCATTCGAATCATCTCAAAGTCTAGCTATACTTCTCTAAGTGACAACAAAATTATCATGAATTAAATTGTTAATATTTCTCTTACCTGGCTCTGGTTAAACTTTTGAGTTAACATTTAAAATTACGTTGCCCTAGTATGCTAGTGGTATTTTTATAACAGATGCACTTTAGACGTGTATTCCTATTTTATAGGACAGAGCATCTTCAGCAGCATCATACAATTCTGTTTATAGCATATTCTAGCGGCTCAATCCTGCTCTCTCTCCTGCTCGCTCGTCTCCCATCTCCACGTGGACCACCAAGCGGGGCTGAGTTCTTTGGACTACTGGTGAGACGCGACGAGGAGTGAGTGCCGTCACAAAGAGCTCTGTGCAGGGCAGGACTAGAGATGCCACACATCACCTGACTACACGTTCTGATGTGGTCCACCAGGGAGCACCGGCCAACGGAAACTCAGCCATCTCTGCCGCCGCCTCAGGACAAGGGATTACTGACCGCAGAAGATGTGGCCCTGACCGTCTCTCGTGGGTGGGAACAACCGGACTCCTCTCGGGGCAATCTCTGCCGAGAAGAGACCTTGGCAGGAGAAGTGTGGCAGCTTCTCCTCCCCGGAGCTTTGAAGACCTACTCAAACACCAAACCGACTGCCGTCAAGTGCATTCCAACTTGGAGCGGTTCCAAGACTGAAAAGGTGTACAAAGTAGGCAGCCTCAACTTTCCCCCTCAGAGCAGCTGGGGCAGCACATGCTCAAAAACTCATGGTATTGAAGGAAGAAACCCAACCTGTACTGAAGACATAGACCAAAAGCAAGGCTTCAGATTGCCTGAATACCGTTGGAGATATTTTAACAAATGAATGCAATGCCCAGAAGCAAGTACTGAACTATGCCAAGAAATACGGAGGACAACTAACTGGCCAACTGAATGGGGGAGATCCATATTTGTACCCCATCCAAAGAAAGGTGACCCAACAGAATGCAGAAATTATTAATGTCATAACCCATACAAGCACACTTCTGCTGAAGATAATTAAAAACTCAACAGGCCCTTCCGGAAATTCAAACTGGATTCAGAATAAGACTTGTTGTAAGAAATCATTTCAGCCAAGAACCATCTTGGCTGAAAGTAAGGAATACCAGAAAGATGTTTATCTGTGTTTTATTGACTACACAAAGGCACTTGACTCTGCAGATCATAAAACACTTTTGATCAAAGTGAAAAAATTGGGAATTTCAGCACATTTCATTGCGCTCATGTGGAACCTATACATAGACTAAGAGGCAGTTGCTTAAACAGAACAAGGGAATACTACGTGGATTAATGTCAGAAAATGTGTGTCAGGTTTGTATCCTTTCACCATACTTATTCCACTGGTATCTTGAGCAAATGATGCGAGAAGCCAGATGATATGAAAAATTTCATTTTACTTGAACCCTCATTACCTGAGGAAGCAGCAGTGAAGCAATAAAGAGACCAAAAAACGGGGGGGAAAGAAATTAGAGACATATTGCATTAGTCAAATCTGCTGCCAAAGAGCTCTTCAAGTGTCGAAAAGCAAATCCGTCACTTTGAGGACTAAAGTTTGCCTGATGGAAACCTGTCTTAACCGGCATCTCGTGCCTGGGAAAGCTGGATAATGGATGAGAAGCACTAAAGAATGGGTGCATTTGAGTTATGGTATCAGCAAAGAATATGATGGCCTCATCTACAGGATTTTCTTGGCTGAAATCTTTACAGAAGCAGTTTACCAAGACTCTCCCATGGAGTGGCAGGGTGGGTTTGAACTGCCAAAATTTAGGTTAGCAGTTGATCTATCACAAACTGCTTGTGCCTCCCACTCTCCTCATAAATGATTCTAAAGCATTAAAGAGAACCAAAAACCTTCTAAATTTTTTATGCTGAAATTAAACAACAAAGTTTACATTTAAATAAATGCAGTATAAAAACAGAAAACTGCAGGCCAGTGCCATATGAATATTGAGGGAAGTGCACCAGACAAAATAGTTGCAAGTAAAATTCATGATCACATTAAGAAATAATGCACCATAGCTGACATTTATTATAGGAATGCAAGGTTGGTTCAACATTTAGAAATCCTCCTAGACAATATAAGATCATAAGAGGCTTTTAAATGTAAGTTACTTCTATAGATGCTGAAAAAGTTTTTGGCTGGATACAGTACATCTTTTTTACATAGCGGTTATAAGAACTATCCAAAAAAAATTTTTAGGGATCTACAGCTGTCATAAGCCCAGAATTCTGAAATAATCAGTGTAAAGATTTAAAGCAAATGGCTATCATATTTAGTGGTCCACTGGAATGTAAAATACATAAACTTGCTCCATGTTTACATTTTATGCATAGCAAGTTGGACTATATTAGCAATTTGGAAAAGGAGAGCTTCTCAAGATTCTTTCCTCTTTATCCTTTTGATGTGAAATTAATAGCAACTTAAAAGTGCTGGCCTTCACAGTATTATATTACAGGTCACCTACATGTGAAGCTACTTCTGCCACGATTATGTCGATTGACTATGTGTAAACGATCATTTTTATCTTAAAATATAATAAAACAGGCTAAAAAACATTCTAGCGTCTGTTGCTTTTGATCCCATGAAAAATGGCTGACCTTTAAGATTTGCTTCATTTCAAGACTTAGAAACACAGCTCCTGACTCCGGTACTTCCCTTTGATGCGGAGAGCAGAACTCGAACGTTGCTTTCCTTAAGCTGCCTCTGCTGGTATTGAACATATGCTAGATGGTCAAATGTCTTTTTGGTTTCCATAGAACTAAGAAAGGTTGATGGGTTCCTCGCATTAAAAACAGCTCGTAAATACTGGGCAAATAGAAGCTATCACAATTTTATATCCACCTTAATTGGGGATGATGGGAAGAGAGTGCGGGGCAATGCAGAACCTCACCATCCTTAACATAATATTCCCACTAACTCCTCTCATGTGTGGACCAACAGTGGGGTGATAATTGTCAGACTATTTCTTTCATACACAAAATATCCATGTGACAAAAACTAGACCTGGAAGACATCAGACTAAGTTTAGTTAGGTAGTAAAGAAAACAAGTTCTAAGAAAACATCAGCACCTACCAATGCTTTTGTACTGTATGGTACATGGCTAGCACTTATTGGTGTTCCTGAGGTCCATGTCAGTGGAAAGGAAAGTGGTTTCATGTATTTCTAAGGATGAAATGCAAAGGAAGCTGCAGTGGTCAGTGGATGATCTACCTCTATGACGCTGGGCTCCACCTGTCCTCTATTCGATTATCTTCTTGGTCCTTGTTTTGCCTTGTGAACAATGACAATGATGATTGCTATCCTCAACTCTAAGTTTTCATGAGGATAATAACTACAGGACGATTTGCAACTTCATTCAGAGTTACAAAATGTAGCTATGTGCTGATGAGTAAGTTCTGATTCGCTGTAACCCTATGTACAACTGAATAATAAACAAACAAGCACCTGCTCAGTCCCAGCCATCTTAACAATCCTTACGTGGAAGCCCATGGTTGCAGCCCCCTTGTCAATCAATCTTGTTAAGGGTCTCCCGCCCTTTCATTGACCCTCTACTTCACCAAGCATAATATCATTTTCCAGAGACTAGTCTCTCCTGATAACGTGCCCAACATACATGAGACGGAAACTCCCCACCCTCACTTCTCATGAGACTTCTGGCTGCACTGCCTCTAACACAGGTTGGCTTGTTCTTCCCTCAGTTGATGATAGGTTCCATGTTCTTTGCCAACACCTTAATTCAAAGGCATCAATTCTTCCCCGATCTTTCTAGTTCATTGTCCAGCTTGGACACTCATATGGGAGCAATTGTCAACGCCTTGGTGAGGGTCAGGTGCGCCTCAGTCCTTAAAGTAACATCTTTGCTCTTGAACCATTTCCATTGGTCCTGGGCATTAGACTTGCCCAATGCAATCTGTCATTTCTGACTGCTCTAACGCACCTGCAAAGCGTAAATCCTAAACTTCACAGAATTAGCTTTCTTTTGTTGCGGGGCACTAGATGTCATGTTGCAGGCTGCAAAACACTGAAAACAACCACGTCAATGCTAGACTTGGTTTTTTTGCCTTTCTCGGAATGCCCCCAATAACCAACCTGACTGCTATTGAGTCAATAGTGATGCACGGCCACCCACTGCGGGTTCCCAAGATGGTCATATTTACTGGGGTCGAAAGCCCAGTCTTTCTCCTGCAGAGCTGCTGGTGGTTTAGAATGACCGAACTTGCATATCGCAGTCCAGTGCCTAACCACTACCCCACCAGGGCTCAGTCTGTCCGTGTTACAATGCATTCTTTAGCAGAAAGGCAGAGCTACACCTGCCCTAATTTCACCTTTCCCAATGGGCTACGACAGGGGGATGGGGGTGGGGAGTCACTACTGTTGGCTGCCGGCTGCCCTCATTTCCCTGCTTCCTGTACTCTGACCTCAGGACACACACCACAGTCAACACCTTGTTTCACATCTCAGATGAGCTGTGTCTTCTGCTGGCTCGATAGCTGCAGAAGTGTGATTTTTTAATAGGTACAAGTATTGGGAGCTTTTAATTCTAATGAAAGGACTTAGGAATTGGAAGACAACAGAAGGGGAGGGGAGGGAAAATGATCAGGCAGCATTGATTTTTGGAATAAGGACGTCCTCCATTTCAAATAAAAGTTGCTGAATGAAATAACATTTAAAGGCACAGAGGAACAAGCATGGAGACCAGGTGTGATCTCCTCTGACTCCTCAAAGGAAAATGGGATGAATATAAGTACACACCAGCCCTAAGTCTACTATCACAAGGTCCAGGTCTACTACCACAAGGTCAAGGTCTACTACCACAAGGTCCAGGTCTACTATCACAAGGTCCAGGTCTACTATCACAAGGTCCAGGTCTACTACCACAAGGTCAAGGTCTACTACCACAAGGTCCAGGTCTACTACCACAAGGTCAAGGTCTACTACCACAAGGTCCAGGTCTACTACCACAAGGTCAAGGTCTACTATCACAAGGTCAAGGTCTACTATCACAAGGCAGAGGTCAGGCATGCCTTCAGCCTCCATCTTTCTTTACCCTCCTATCTGTCAAGTGCAAAAGAGCCTCGAGATCTCAGAGAAGAGAAAGGTACCATTGACCCAAGCTGAAAGGCTTCTCCAGGACCATGTGACCCCAGCCTCCTCTAAACAATCTCCACAGCGATGGTTGTGGAGGGAACCAACTCTTGATAAGCCCAAGACTTGTTTTAGACAGTTTATTTTCAACGGACATGGAGTATTACGACCTGATACGTTCACTGTGAAGCAATTAATTTTCTGTGCTGTAATACTTGGTATATGATCAGAGTTATAAACAACACACACACACAACCATGGTAAACATGATAAAATTGAGAAGAGTGAAGCAACAGAGAGAACGGGAGCTTTGTCTAAGATGAGGGCCATATCATTAGGACAAAGTGGCTCCTGTTTTTGTTGGCAAGAATATGCTAGATGTATCAGTCAAGAGACGGACACCTTCCGTATAGTTAGTTGTTCTTTGTTAATGACCGTTGGACTATCGTCTAATAAATATGCCTTTTCCTTGCAATTAGGAACCGAGTTTCAGCAGTTTAGATCCACCAATGGTTTTGTGAGAAAAAGATGAGGGTTACAGCTCCCCCAAAATGTATAGCCTTAGAGATGCAAAGGGTCCTTTCCATTCTGTCCTATTGGGTCATCATGAGTCATAGTTGACTCCTATTCTGAGTCCTAATGGGCACTCTGACTCAGAATGGCCCTGGTGGCAGTGTTCTTCTTTTTGACCCTGCAATGAACGCTTTAGATAGCTCCATTCATCATCACAACTATAAAATGGTCACGGTTATCACCCCAATTTTATAGATGAAGAAACAGAGGCTCAGATAGGCCAAGCAGTTTTGTCAAGGTCATGTCTACAAGTAGTAGAGCCATAAGTTAAATTCTATCTGATCCCCAAACCATGTTCTTAACTGCTAGACGGTATTGCCTGTCTTTACTAGCAATGATGAGCTTATCAGTAAATAGGAAACCATGGTTGTATCTAGTATCCAAATACTTTAAACAATCCGAAGTTATTGAATACTTTTAATAGGAATTTTCTAGTCCCCTCTTCCCCATGTTTTGACAGCATACCAGTAGCTTCCATTTGAGGATGAAGGAAATAGAGGGGCAGGGTAGCTCATGCTAGCATGTTTTCAAACCATCCTATTTCAAGCATATCTCACTTTACCATTTCGTTAATGCATGTCTCCAGAGAATCCACGCTATGCCCACCCTTTGGGTCCCCAACTTACTCCAAGGAGTCAATGATTTGGTTGGGCTCCACAGGGCATGAATAGACCACTTCATCAATGTGCTTCAGGTTACAATTTGAGAAAGCAGTAGACATATGGATGAAGGCTTCTAGCTTTTCCATTTGACTGGCCATAGTTAAGAGCTGTTGGGTGGCAACCACGTTAAGTTGTATGGCTTTTCTAGAGAACAATAAACAGAAGGAAATGCAATGAGACAATTCAGCAGCTTGTCCTGCTCTGATCACCCCAACTCGAATAACTAGCATGCCTACCAGCGGATTTTGGTGGCTGTCTCTAAGGGCCGGGGTTAAAAGTATGGGTCATGGCTGCAATTATGAGGGACTTGGGATTTTCTATTTGTTGATAGCATATTATATGTGCATATATCTATTCACTGTACATATTATGCTTTGATATCACTTGGAAAATTATCTGGGGAGAAAACGTCATAGACTTCTGAATTTATAAAAGGACTTCTATAAGCAGTCATTAAAAGAACAATAACATAAAAATTAGGTTTCTAACTCAAGATCTTGGAAATTAGAGGGAACACAGCAATATGATTTACTACTGAAAAGGTCCATGTCAGACATTAAAATTGGATTAAAATGCTTATCACATTTTAGTGAGTAGAACACAAGTCTATGTAAGCACAATGCTTGATGTAATACTAAATACATGGCTTATCCACTATCAGTAATTCTGTTAATCTAATTTTCACTCAAAAGGAGAAAAACTATAAGATCATCTATATATATATTTGGAAAGCTATTTAATGACATGGAATATTTATTCCCAACTTAAAGGCCAATGACTACTGTCAAAAATATTTCAAGCATTGTAAAAGACAGATAGTTGAGATGCTGACTATTCCAAAAAGTCTTGAAAGTAACCAGAAAAAGAATATTTCAGTGGAGCAATAGGCGAAGAATATGAAGCATTTTAACAACAACAAAAATTTCAATAAGCATTTAAAATTGTCAACTTTTTTAACATTCAACAGCAAAAAGAAAAATAAACGTGACACTGTGTTGAAAAAGAAACTGTTTATAACCTGGACACACCGGGTACCTGGGTATTTTTTTGGATTTACTCAAAGGTGAGTATACAAATGTGTTAAAACAATAAAAGTATGTACAAGGATAGCTATTGCAGAGCTGTTGCTAAGAGTGAAGAGGTGTAGCATCCTATCTATCCATTCAAATAGAACGGATTGACAGTCTTTTGACTTGCATGTTCCGTGTGGTCTTTATAAATTATGACCGAACATTGACTGACAATGAGGTTAGCTAGAAAGAAGATGACACCAGCTGGAAACCATGGTGCTTCTCCATGTGATGCCATGTTAATTCAATGTGATGCCATGTTAATTCAAT